ATATTTAAGTAGCTATGCTCATTAGTAGGCATAATTATGTTTAGTTTTGACCTACGTATGTATTAATTAAGCACTAAACTTTGGGCCCCAAATTTACACGCAGTACATAACTTGTTTTGACCGTACAGTTTGCAGACAATTGAACTGTATGAGAACTTTGATTATTTGTGCTTATAGAATGTTACTTTATAAGTTTTAGTTTTGTGGGCGATTCATGTTTTAATATTTTATATTTTGCATAAAATGGAGAGTGAATTATTTGCTGTTACAATTAAAAAAAATGACGTGTTCTGATATTTCCACGAATACAATATTTCTATCTAAGAGTGCTGTGAAAGAAGTATGCCACTGTTTACTTTACAGAATATTTACGAGGCTTGTTTTACCAATGTAAGCTTTATGAACTGTAACACAAAAACTATTTAGATAAAAATTCAGACACCAGTAAATTTCCATTTATAATTTGTTGGCGTTCTTGAATTATAACCATTAGAATTTATTTCCAGTTTTGAGTATGAATCTATAGAGGCAAAGGTTAATGTGAATTCAACAATGATACTTATAACGCTATCATGTTTTGATAAATTGAAACATACAAAGATTAACGTGAATTTAAGAGTGAAACTTATAACACTATCATGTTTGATAAATGGAAACATACAAAGGTTAACGTGAATTTAACAGTGAAACTTATAACACTATCATGTTTTGATAAATTGAAACATACAAAGTTTAACGTGAATTAAACAATGAAACTTATAACACTATCATGTTTTGATAAATTGAAACATACAAAGTTTAACGTGAATTAAACAATGAAACTTATAACACTATCATGTTTTGATAAATTGAAACATACAAAGTTTAACGTGAATTAAACAATGAAACTTATAACACTATCATGTTTTGATAAATGAAATATACAAAGATTAACGTGAATTTAACAGTGAAACTTATAACACTATCATGTTTTGATAAATTGAAACATATATATATATATATATATAGATAGATAGATATCAGAGGGAGCCTAAGTTTAGAATTAACTGATAACACAACGCAGAGCTTTAATGAATATTACTTGATAATTTAATTTATTAAAAGTGCATTACCTATTTTGTATTCCTCATTCACAACTGAGAAGCAAAAACATGCAATATAGTGTAATGTATTCACTAAGGATGTCGCAAGTATCACCATTCAATGAGTCGAGAGCGCAGCCTGTTCTTTCAATAGAAATACGAATATTATTTCGTGAATGGAATGTATGCATGCTCTGCTTCTTTGGATAAACAGCTAAGAGTATTTAGTGAAATGTTTTAGATCAATATTTTAGTGGTTCACTCTCAACTGTAGAGCTATATAGTTATTTACAAACGCGGATCGCATTCGTTAAATGCTGAATCACAAAACAGTGCGGATGGGCTATAATCGAATAAGAAACCTTCTTTCAGAGTCCGTGCTACGCTGTTTTCAAACTTTTACGACTGCAATATGTTGTCCAAATCTATATTGTTTGAGAGACTTTATAAAGTAATAGTCCGATCCTTTAAAACAAAATTTTCACTTTATTTCGGGTATCACTCATCCCAAAACGTCTGTAAAATAACTATATAACATAACCTTATTTTTTATACTAAAACTATATGAAATAATAATTTTCAAATGCATTTACAAGTATTCAAAACAAAATATCTAATATATCCAGCAAGAGTATAACGTTTTAAACAGAAAATTTCGCTTTGTTCAGAGCCTTCCACCAAAATGTTCTAGTATTCATTGATTCACAGAGTAAAAATGATTTATTTACCAAGTAAATACATCATCGTAAAAAGTGTTATTTGTTTCATCATAAGAGCCACCTCATGGCCACATATGTATGCAACACACTATGTAACCTTTGTGATTAATATAATACATCATCGTAAAAAGTGTTATTTGTTTCATCATAAGAGCCACTTCATGGCCACATATGTATGCGACACACTATGTAACCTTGATGTAACCTATGTAACAAAGATCTTATAGTTTACCTGTTTGAAGTTTCAGATAAGTAATGAAATACTACAATTCATATTTTTGTATCCAAAATTCCTAGTTTTGCGTATTTCCTTATGCAACATGCAACATAGTGTAAATGCTTCTCAGGTTAAAAAGAAAGTTTTGCTAATAATAATAATGCAGGACAAAAGTCATCAAAATGAGCTGTTGGTGTATAATATACACTTATATCAAACTACATTGTTGATTATTCACCAAGTTATCTACAATATAGATTCTTGATCTGCTTGACTATATTCGAACGTGAAATATGGTAATGTGTCATCAACATAGAGTAGTCAAAATAGGCTCATCTTCAAGTATGACGAATAGCACATGGTTTGTTGGGATTTCTACATAATATATACATAGATGGAGATGTTTGAGTTCAGTTTCAATGCGCAGTTTTATATCTCCCTGCCTCTGTACATTGGGAACTTCTGGCGGCAATATTCACCACTAATTTTTTAACTTTATCTGTCATCACAGAATTTTTATTCTTAGAGCTTATGTCCAGCAAAATAATAGTTACTGTAGATCCAGCGCCACTCAATATAAGCCACGGTGTTTATTCAATCGCTCCATTAATCCATAACCTTGAGCAAGGCTTCTTAAAAATATACCTACTTCCAACTTGTGCGTAGTTTTTTTATCAATCCTTTTGCATTTCAAGTTTCGGGAGAAGTGAAAAGGCAAGTTCATGAAACGTAGTCAAGAAATGAAAAGAGAAGTCGTTTTTAGGACTAACCTTCCAGATTTTTAAATTAAAATGGCCTACTTCAGTTTTAAAAAAATACATGTTTCCTGCCAGCATTTATTCACCATCACCATTATACCTTCTCTTTCATTCCCTTGTGTTTGATGGGGCCTATCGAGTAATATTTTTATATTATTTTGGTGGCTTTAGTCAACTTTTTGTTGTTGTCAGTTGCGAATATAGTATATTTGGAATGGTTGACGTCTTTCAGTGGACTTCTGTTACATTAAGCTTCTAGCATAGTGTCCAGTGTTTTTACATTGAGGACGATTTTAAACGAATTTCTTTCAGATACTACAGTTTAATTAATCTATTTATGCGGAATATAAAGGTGAATTAATATTATCACTCTCCAGAGTTTAATGTTTTTATTTTTAAAACTACAGATACGATAACTTAGGAAGATACAGTAACACAAATGTTATGAATAATTAAGTTAATTGTTCGATACATGGGTAAAGCTACCTTAATTTTAAACCTATTAAGATTCATACCCTACATTTCAATATCTAATTTAAGGCGATCTTCCAAAAACGTCAACTACATTAACAGTCTTTTCTCCTTTTTCACATATTCAGTTATTTTTTTGCGTTCATTTCAAAAATCGACTTATTCTTGAGAGTAATAAATAATTTTAATACCTTGTAGTGTTTTCCATCTATAACACTGAACAATTAATATTTCTATTTTTGTTATATTTCATGTATGAATGCATTATCCCAAGCTGAGACCATAGTGCCTGAGTAGGGAGATAGTCTAGTCTAATCACCTGTTTGTGCCGTGCTCCTACCTAATAACTGAAAGAAACTAAATTTAAATTAGCCGTGAAATGGCAAAATCTCTCTCGTCTAACAGTTCAAAAAAGAATTCAGAGTAAGGAAAATCAGAAGTAGCTCCTCCTACTATTATTTATGTAGATCAGAGGAACATTGCTTCAAGAGTTAATAATATAACATTGTTTCTAGAGTTAATAATATAACATTGTTTCTAGAGTTAATAATATAACATTGTTTCTAGAGTTAATAATATAACATTGCTTCTAGAGTTAATAATATAATTCTGATTTTGCATAATTGACAGCGCTCAAGTTATAAACCGTGATATCATATAATGTTAGGTTATTTAGTGATGAAAGGGACACTGGAACATTATACCCCATTTAAATATAACTATATAAAGATATATATATTATACATAGTTTATCATGGACTGGCACGCCTTTGTCTGATAGAGAGGATTAACTTATATCTGGTAATTTCTTTTCTTAGGAGAGTTATCAATCAAACATTATTATCTAAAGCTTATACTTTTATTATGTTTCTCCCTTTCCACAGTTGGAACTAGGACTAGGTACGAATGACATATGATCCTTCAGGTCAGTTTTAATCTTGTGGAAGCTGAGATCTCTGAATTTGATAACAAAGAGGAATTTTGTGAGTCACACAGAACCTTGAATTAAAACCTGGAGTAGATTTTCATTTTAGCTCGCTCTTAGGAGAAAAGCCTTCAAAATACAATCCGTCTTTAACAAAAAATATATATGTTGGAGTTATCCTTAGTTACGGTAGTTTTAACGTATTCTTTACACATTCTGTATTAAATGTTAATTAATGATATTCCGGATAATGACTGTATGAAAACGTCCATTAGTTTTAATTTGAGAAAATAAAATTAAGACGAGATAAATCTTGTTATGGGGCTACATATGTACTTACATGTAAACCGATATTTAGTTTTCAGCCTGTTTTACGAAGGCAAAATAAAAATCATTATGAATTAACGAAGTCTGTTATTCACTGTTCGTATTACCACCAGGTAATTAATACGTTGCGTTGGCTAATTCTGCATTGTTTGCACTACAATATATTTTTTCTTATATATTTGTTGGTTAGAATTGGATACTGTGTTGTAACACTTACAGGTAGTCGAAAGTAATTTTAGAATTCGGTAGTTTCCACCCCATGAAGCATCAGTTCGTTGCTTTCGTTCATGTGCATTACTCTATATTCTCTAATTATGTAAACGTTAATGAAATGTGAAACTGCTAAGAATAAGATCACATATGAAACGTTTAGTCGAAGCTCCTGGAGTATAATTACTGTGTGAGAAGTATAATAACTCGGATCAATAATGGACGGTATAAGTTCAGACCGTGAAAGACTGGTGAACAAGACAGGAGTCACCAGTCTATAGCTAACCACAAACTCGTGATGTTTAACTTAGGTCTCGTTACTCGGTTTCTCGTTTTGGTCCCACTTGGTATTTCTTCATTAGAAATAGGTAAATATATTTAAGTTTTATACTTCGTATTTTTTATGTGCAAAATTATTACTGGCATTTAACTCTTGAGTCTTCATACCAAATAAAAAGTTGAGTATGAAAATCCCTTTGTTATTTCAAAGGAAATTGTATGCGAATACGTGAGATATTTAAGTTGACGAGTTTAAAATGTTTATCTGCTATTTAAACAGGCACGGTGTTGTCTAAGTAACATTTGTAATGTGGGAGAGGAAAGGAAAGTAAGTATGTACTGATGTATAGGTAGAAACACTGCGTTAACATCTTTCATGCAATACCTATAACACTTGGGTAAAAAACATAATAATTAAACATATAATTATTTTTTGAATGTTAAAGTTCGATTAGATCAGTTAGAGATAAATAGTAGTATTTACTTTTCTCATCACAAACGAGCTTTAAGTAGGAAGTGACGTGTTAATTAGTACAGGCTATAATGAGAATACAGAACGTCATATGGTATTTATAGCTATAATATTATAAGCTAAGCACATTAAATTTAATCATTGCCTTTCTGGTTAGGCTAATAATTAAAGATCAGTATTTGAAACGATGAGGTACTTATAGGTTCCGTTACTGAAAGTAATATAAAGTTACGCTTATCATTAGCGAGTAAACAGCAAAGGAAGGAGCACTGTTTTTATAATTTTCTCTTCTGGACAGCGATACTGGAAGGTATCTAGTATTTACAACTCTCATTTCTAGCTAGTTGATACATGAAGTAATGTGGTATTTATACCTCTCATTTCCAGCTAGTTGTTACATGAAGAAATGTGGTATTTATACCTCTCATTTCCAGCTAGTTGTTACATGAAGCAATGTGGTATTTATACCTCTCATTTTCAGCTAGTTGATACATGAAGCAATGTGGTATTTATACCTCTCATTTCCAGCTAGTTGATACATGAAGTAATGTGGTATTTATACCTCTCATTTCCAGCTAGTTGATACATGAAGCAATGTGGTATTTATACCTCTCATTTCCAGCTAGTTGATACATGAAGTAACGTGGTATTTATACCTCTCATTTCTAGCTAGTTGATACATGAAGTAATGTGGTATTTATACCTCTCATTTCCAGCTAGTTGATACATGAAGTAATGTGGTATTTATACCTCTCATTTCCAGCTAGTTGATACATGAAGCAATGTGGTATTTATACCTCTCATTTCCAGCTAGTTGATACATGAAGTAATGTGGTATTTATACCTCTCATTTTCATTCAGTTGATACATGAAGCAATGTGGTATTTATACCTCTCATTTCCAGTTAGTTGATACATGAAGAAATGTGGTATTTATACCTCTCATTTTCATCTATAGTCAATATATAAAGTGATGTGGTATTTATATTATCTTTCATTTCCAACTAATCAATACAGGAAATAATGTCGTATTTAAACTTCCCATTTCCAACTAGTCAGTAGAGGAAGTTATTATGTTCTCGTCAGATATTTTAACCACATCAAGGTTATACTCTCTGTACGTAAACATTTTGTTTTAAACCAATTTCATTTGAGGTTCAAAATATGTATATATGTGTTTCAAGTAAAATGTTTACATGTTTATGTATAATTTGTTAGAAAGACACTATTGTTTGATATTGTTCATTTTTATCTAAGAAATGTCTTTCTGATTGCTCTCAGTAAGCTTGGTGGAAGACTGCGATAACGAAAAAGTAGATGAACTGTATAAAGATCTACAAATGTGGTGGACCCATGGAAATAATTCCATGCTGGCGACTGCTGTCCACTGTGGCAAGTCACTTGAAAGAAGTTTATTTGGTATGATTTTAAAATGTGATATTTGATAATGATAATGAGAATATACTTCCCAACTTTTAGTAATATCATTCACCTCTGTTGTACAGATAGTTAAAATATTGCTTATTTGCCCTGCACTTTTGGTTGACCTTGGTATGGCAACAATCTCACTTATTTAGCTTTTCTTTATATCAAATTTTATTCTTGACCTATTTAGAAATAGAGTAATATGTAGCAGCTATTATTATTTCGACATTTTTTAAATTATCTTACATGATTTCCATATGCATTAAAACTAACCTTCACTTTTCTTTAACATTCTACTTATGCATAATTTTACTATGATGGACGTAGTGTGTATGTCACTATCTATGTACGCAACCAAAACTCCTGTGTCATCCACTGAATGGCACCACAAACAAAAATCCATAAAAAAATTTCACACTTTGAGTATTCAAGATTTAGACAATTAGAAGAATAACTGTGGTATGTGTAACAACAATTTCTTTACAATAGGGCACAATTTTAAATAAAGATACTCATCTCATAATAAAAACGCGACTTTCACTAGGACTGAACGTGAGGGTTGATCATATCTTTTATTGATGTAATTTTTATATCTAGTACTGAGAAACTGAGTTGCGTATGACTATAGAGCACAATCCGAACACTTTTCCCGTGCAGTACTTCCCAGAAAAAAATTTTTTTTTCAGAAAATGTTCCCTTTTTCTAATTTTTTTTCAATGAGGTATGAATATTACGACTAGTAATTACTACAGCCGCCCGTAGGGCGGCGTTTCTGCTACATTTACATAATACTTAAAAGTACTTTCTAGGGTTTTAATGCACATCACGGTAAATTACCATTATTAGACGACAAGTAATCCATGCTATAAGAAAGTTATATCATTTGTTTATTGTTTCTTTCATTGGCTATACTATTTAGTATATCGAATGATATTATATTTTTGTATTACTATAATATTATTAAAAATATTGTTTTTTCATTGTGAACTCCACATGTGTATTTAGAAGTAACCTAAATATCCAAAGCTGGCTGAATATTGTGATATATTTTTGGAATTACGGCCGAAAATACCGTTAACAGCAAGGGTACCTAGCAGATGAAACAATGCATCATAATCTTTATAACTAGAAATGTAAAAAATATATATATTTAATTAGCTATAATGATTGGTAGGCTGATTTTTAGTTTCATCCAAGCAGATAATTTGCTGTGATAGATAACTAAAAACGCAAGAAAAGTATATTTAATTAGTTATATTGATTACTAGGTTTCGCTGTAAGTACATAGTCTGTTCTGATCGGAAATTAATATTAATAAGTTTTTTAATATTTATTATAAATAAATGTTGTTGATATTTTGGTATTCTTGGGTACACTGATTTACTCTTCGGGTGGTAACTGCAAATAACAGGAAGAAAAGCCAAACTATACTTCACGGAGTTAAAATAATAATAATAATAAAAAAAGACTTGAGTGAGTTGGACAAGGGAGACTGAATACAACGTTATATGTCTTTTTTTTTGTATTGCACAGCTACAAAGTAAGCTACCTGCGCTCTCTCCATTGCTGGAAGTCAAGTCTCAGATTTTAGCGTTGTAAGTCCGTAAACTTGGCGCTGACTCACCGAGATACTTGACTTGTTTGATAAATATTGATTTTTTTATTTCAAACAAGGAAGTCAAAAGACGGATCCATTAAAGTCGGACTGCGCTTGTTAGGGATGTCAGGGCTAGTCGTCCCTAATTTTGAACTCGTAAACTAAATGGAAGGCAGCTAGTCAACAGCACCCACCGCCAACTCTTGAGATACTATAATCAAATAGCGGGAGTTAACCTGGCATCAAAGTGCGGAACACGATTTTATGCCAACGGGACGCGAGCCATGGACCCACGGATTCACAGTCTGGACATGACAGGCTTACATTCTAAGTAACTCTGTGTGATTTTAATGTGTATTAAATCTACACAGCGTGGTCACAAGTAAATAGACACCAC